CATGGCAAATGGTCAGAGAGTCATGGAGATGGTAAACCAAAATATCCAGCATCTGAGGGCACTGGGTTTCCTAACTCTGCTGTAAGGAATGCTTCCCCCAAAGTCCAGCTTGTCTTCTGGTACTCATTTATCAAATGCCCGGGATGAATCCTTGTACTTCTGTCATGAGACCTTGTTAGAGAAAAAGCCCTCCAGTCTCTCTGGAATTTCACATCCTCTAGGAATCCAGCAGCTCCTTCAGAGACTTTCATGCAGAATATATGAAGACTCTTCTATAGCAGGAAATCTTCAGGACCTTGAATTGCCAGTGAATATGACAGTGTTTCTAGTTTACCTTAAGAAGAATTATCCCATCTATCTGAAATCATCAGAAAACTGTTTACAAAGTAAGATTGATACCTCATAATTTACCAAAGGTTGTGGGTAGGTGGTTTGATTTCTCACATTGTGCATGTTGAAGACAAGAAAATTTATTTTTAAATGAGTGGAATGTTGCAAGAGTTTTATTCTCAACTTTTTGCTTAGGCATTAGCATTTAATTCTTTTCAGCCTGGGAGAGATGATGCCTGAAATTTCTGCACATTTTGATGCTGTATCTAGATAGAAAAAGCAGTCTTTAATGAACAGGAATGGCTGATCATTGATGATAAACAATGGGTACAAATTGCATTTAATGGAAAATTGAGCTGCTTTTGATCTAAATCAGTTTTCTCCAATCTGCAATCCTCCATCTACTTCAGGATTCAGCATTTCCATCCAGAATCTTAATGCACAGTTTTAATTCTGGATAGAAATAATAAAGAAACAAACAAAAAATATAGAAGAGTGGCACCTCCAAATAAAACATGTGCCATTAACTCAAAACGGGCCATATCTAAAGTTAGAAGATTGAACATTTTGACAAATCACTTCTGAGAAAGGATCCTAGAATGGTTACTTGATTCACTAGGATGATATAATCACAGCCAAAATGCATATGACACTAAACTAAAATTGCAGGTTTCCTCTCGTATTTCAATGACATCATCCAAGTTACTGTTTCTGAGGAAACATGAAGGAAGCAATATATAGGTTTCTAATGTGAGAAACCTGTTTAATTGTTAATAATTCTTAAGAAGAATTCATTAATTATTTAACATTCCTCTTGTGTTCCCAGGCTTCGATCTGGAGGTTACCATGAAAAAAGACAACCAGTCCTGTCTCACCGAGATTGTCCTGTTGGGCTTCTCAGATTTCCAGTCTGTGCAGGAACTTCTGTTTTCTCTGGTTCTAATATTCTACTTCATGGCCTTGATGGGCAACAGCCTGATTTTGGTCCTCATCTTTCTCAGTCCTGCTCTTCATACCCCAATGTATTTCTTCCTCTGGAACTTGTCCTTTTTGGAAATTGGCTACACCACGACCATTAGCCCAAAGATGCTAGTGAATTTGTTATTAGAGAAACAGTCTATATCCTTTTGGGGCTGTGGATGTCAAATGTGTTTCTTCCTTCTTTTTGGTGTCACTGAGTGTTGTCTTCTTTGTGTCATGGCGT